CCCCGAATGCAGGAAGTGATTTATATTACATCACTTCCTGCATTCAGTGTCACTCTCCAGCTACAGAAGCTGATGAAGCAGATTTCTGCTTCATCAGCTTCTCTGGGGGTCCCTAGGTGACATTAGGGGTCTTGGAAACCGCTGATGTCTCCATAAAGAGGACCTGTCATGTAAATTGGCTATCACATAGGGGGTTTCTTAGCCCCCCATGTAATAGCAATAAAGTTGTGTGAAAAAAAAAGTAATACAAAAGTTAAAGAATCATTAAAAAAATTAAAAAAGAAAACATTTTTTTTAAGTCCCCGCCCCCCACATACACACGCAGATATGCGTCGGGTGCGCCTACGTGCGAAAACGACGATTACGTCTATTGTGCCGCACATGTTACATATCGCCACAAACGTCGGAGTGAGAGCAATAATTTTAGAGCCATTAATCACTAATAACACTAAACTGATGAGCAGTAAAAACGTTTAATCGTCGCCTATGGGCGTTTTTTGCGATTTTGCAGGCGCACGCAATTTTAAGGCTTGACATGTTTGGTGTCTATTTACCCGACATGACCCCGTCTTTTATGTTTTACTAAAAATATGGGTAAGAAGAATAAATGTTTTATAACATAACGTAGGGAAACTTTTTTTTTTTTTTTTTTTTTTTACTTTTATGGTACTTTTTTCATTATATAGTTAAAAAAAAATAACACCCCCCAGTGGTGATTATATACCTCCAAAATAAAGCTCGATCTGTCCCCAAAAAAATGTTAACTTAAATTGCAAGGCTACAGTCCGGTCATGCTGAAAATTTTCAAGCCCTGGCCATAGGTGTTACAATATCATTGGCTGCCAAGGCCTACCTCACTTCAACTAGCCTTAAATATAACATTCGTTAGACATCATGTCTCCTAAATTGTTCTAGACCCTTCTATCCAAGCCAAAGCATATAGACAGGACACATGCTAAGTGTGTCTCGTATGCTCTTAGGGTACATATGTTTGTATAAAGCTGCTCAACTTCTATAACAAAATAACTTTAACTATTCCATAATAATAATGTATAGGCTAACTAATATCAACATGACGTGTATAAGTTAATATCAAAATTCCACTACAGACCGGCTGGTCTTCTCTCGTGTACCTTTTGTCCAATTTTCCCTTAGGGATCTGTTTTGAGACTGAATATTTTCCCTTTGTTGACCCCTCTTGTTGTTGGTCTGTTCTCCCACTTCTGGTTCAGATTTGGGCTTTGGTTCTTTTGTTTGTTGCAGATGGCTCCTGGTTCTATCTTAGATCCTTCAGTGGCTGTTTCCCACCCTTTGGTTGGACTGCTTACCTACTACCAGTAGGTGTCATGCTAGAGCCTGAAGTACATGTTTTCTGCAGAGTGATTTACTGTAACCTCTGTAATTTGATAGCCTACCATTTAGGTCTAATATTCATACAGGAATGGCACAGCCCCCTCTAACAGCTGTGGCCCAGGTTTTCTTCGTAAACCTGGCCATGCACTGATAGATTTTTGCTTGAATGTACTGTACAATCTTGTCAAAACATTCGATAGTGTCATCAGCTTTACACAGAGGCAATGAGCAATTGAAAATACAGCTTGGTAGGATCTGCAAATTACATTTGCTTGAAG